TCCTTACACAAAGTGGGGCAGCAACAGGGCGTCCGGGGAAGCGACAAACCCGAGCGCGTTGCAACAACCTATCCCGCAATGCGCAAGCTGCCTGCACCCACGGGAATTCATCAGCAGACTGGGTGAATGGAGTCACGAACAAGCAACAAAGCTCGCAGGACTCGGGGTCAAATGTGTCACCAACCCAACAGGCAGCATGACCGAGGCAAAAACAAGTTGAGTCACCCTGAGACAAAGGGACAGAGCAACCCTCAACTCTCACAAAGTGAGAGGGGACGCAAGGGTCTCCACTATCGGACCCGAGAGCCCCCGGGGGGTTTCCCAGGGCCCCTAGAATGGGTCTGCTAAGGGTTATCCCAGGCAGGGCACTGCTAACCGGCACCCTAAACTACCAAGCAAACTGCTAAAGCTGAACTCACGGGACGTGTCCACCCGTGAGGGCGAAGCAGGGGGTGCCACCACACAAATGACCCTAATATAAGGGGGGAGGGGGTGGAAACACAAGGCAGACCCCCCACCAGGCAAAAACAAATGTAAAAGAAAAACCACACAAGTGGACAATGTACCCAAAGGAAACAGAGCCGGGCGCTGTCATAGGTGAAAACTAGCTACGCAGTACCCTGTGCCCAACCAGTGCTATAACTACCACTTACCCCAAGGTAAACAAGGGAGGAAAACCCCCAAACACTCGGGGCGGCCAAATGCCAAGCAGTGAAAAGCCAACAGAGGTAGACCCAAGGTGACTTGTGGAAGACAACCCCAAGCCCCAAGGGCGGTACTTACAGGGCACTCAGGGAAGGTGACCCTAAGCACATGCAGCCCGAGTACCTGAGAATACTACTCCCAGCTCACACGACCACCATTAGAGCAGCACTGCAAAATAAGTCACAGCACTGAGACAAGACCGGAGCTGGAGCCACACGACCATGCACTATCCCATCAGCCGAGGAACTGGCGCGGGGGTCTGGGGCTCCCCCTTCCCCTTCCCGGGGAAGGGGGGAGCTGCGCAGACATGCGGCGCGGTTCGTGTGATGTCATGCTTGTTAGTTTGTTTTCCTGAGGGAGTTCTGTCCACTCGTTTGTCGATTTTTGTTGTTAACCAGAATAGGGGGTTTGTTTTGTGGCGCTTACCTCTCTGGGTGCCTGTCCCGGTCGATGACAGATATGGAATGCTCCAAATCACATGTGCAATTCTATGGACCATCGCTCCCCGTGCTCTCTGAGGGGGCCAGGTTCTGGCTCGTGGTCCCCGGTAGGTCTAGAACTCCACCCACATCGACTGATGCAAAATAGTTAGGGCATCCATATCAGCCATGGATAGCTCCGGGGAGCCGTAGGGGCTCCCCCCAGAAAACAAAGAAAAAATCAGACACATTGAAATAATTAGGTAATAATATCTTTGTGGCAACCCACCGCCTGACAGCTGGGGCGAAGCAGACCTCATCTGGCGCCTGCTGTCAACGCCTCTTTCTGTAGAGAGCCCCTTCGGCTTCCTGGAGCTATACCGGGCTGATATGTATATATTAGACCGTGGCAACAGTCAATCAAAGGAGTTCTAAGCCTACCTGGGACCAAAGCCAGAACCTGGCTCCCTCAAAAGAGGCACAAGGAGCAATGGCCTAAAGACACCCCCGTGTAATTGGAAGCCGTCTTTGTCTGCCATCTATCAGGTCAGGCACCCAGAAAGATAGTTATTTAAAAACAAACTACTGCTGGCCAAAAAATGCAAACCGAAAGCCGAAAAAGCAAACAGAACTCCCCAATCAAAAACCGGGAAACAAACATGACGTCACCACAATCGCCTCACATCCATCTGCTCAACCCCCCTCTCCCCGTGAGGGGGACAGGAGGGTCCCAGACCTCCACACCGGCAACTCTCCTCAGTTCAAAGGCTGTTGTGATGGTGAACGGTCGATCACTCTGGTTCCACTCTTTGCAAAGTGCTGCAGTGTGGTGTTGTTGCTCTGTATTGGTGGTGTGTGAGCCAGGAGTAACACAAGAGTACTGGGGCTGCATGCACCTAGGGCTACCTTCCCTAGGTGCCCCGTAAGTACTGCCTTTGTGGCTTCAGGGTTATCTTCCATGAGCCGTTCAGGAGCAGCTACCTCAGTGTGGTTCTGTCGCTGCTCGGTGATTGCCCGCCTTTGGGGGTTCAGCTGCGGAGGTTCTTATTCCTGTTTGTCCTTGGGTAGGAGGTAGTTTTGTCGCTGCACAGTACCGCACAGTACTTTGCAGCTGGCAGATATACGGATAGCGACCGGTTCTGTTCACCTGGAGACATTGTGCTTTTGCGGGGTTTTTCTTTAGTTTTTGCTTTGTATTGCCAGGCGAGAGGTCTGCCAAGTGTGGCAGTAGGACCACTAGTAGGTTTTTGGTGGCCCTCCACTAGGTCCCCATGCTTGCACACGTCGCAGGGGGTCAGCCTGCGACGTGTGCAAGCTTAGTTTGTTTGCTTGGTAGCTCTGGGATAACCGGTTAGCAGTACCTCGCCTGGGCTTTCCTTAGCAGTCAGCCTAAGGACCCTGGAAACCCCCATTGGGGCTCAGTAGTCCAATGTAGTAGACCTCTTAGTTCCACATCGCCTTGTGCGAGTTGGAAGGATGCTCTGTTTCCCCTGTCTCAGGGTGACATTCACCGTCTGCCTCTGTCTTGCTGCTTGTTGGGGTCAGTGACACCTATGACCCAGAGCCCTGCGAGTGGTGTTTTTTTCTTGTACTTCAATTCACCCAGTTTACTGATGCTTGTACTCCAATTCACCCAGTCCACCAAGACTGATATTCGGGAGCAGGCAGCATTAGCGTTGCATGTGAGGTTTGGGTTGCAGCAACGTGTGAGGTTGGTTGCCTTTCCGGATGCCCCACAGCTGCCCAACTGAATTGTATTCGTAGCGAAACTCGGGCAGCTTTGGGGATTGCCCCTTCCGGATCAGCGATGGAGGCATTTGAACCTGGTCCTCCTGCTGGAGCTTTTGGGCCACGTCAGCGGGCCCACTTTCATCCCTGCTTTTCCGGTGGACTCTGCTTTTTCTCCAAAAGCAGAGGGTTTGGAGGACGGCTCGGCCCCAGGTCCAGACATGGAGGATTCCGGGGCTGTGAAGGAGTCGACTTGGGGAAGCCTGGGCTCCACTGGCGCCTGCTTGAGTGTTTGGTACCCTCGGTGCGGGGCTTGTTGTTACAGGGGGAGGGGTTTTTCTATCCCCCTCCCTGTACGATTTTGTTACAAGTTAGACTCCTCCTCGGGTTCGGTTCAGAGTTCCCTTGGGTTTTTTGGTTCCCTCCTTCTGGAGGTTTTTGGTTTCCTGCATCCCACCAAGGAAGGTGTGGGAGGCCCCTTGTGGCTTACCTCCTGCGAGACCTAGATTACGCCTCAATATTGAAGCCTTCTTTTTGAGTTTGACTCCTCTTTTCCTTATTGGGTGCGTTACAAGGTGCCAGAGTCTTCCTAGCAGGCAGACTGCTTTTTCTTCCTGAGGGGCTTGGCATTTGTCCTGTCGGATTGCGCACGTGAATGGCAAGAGTTCCCACACCTTCCTAGGGGGCAAGTTGGAGCACCTTAAGACATGCTTGGTCGCCCCCGTCCTTCCTTATGATGTCGGCCAGGTGCGGCTTCACGTGCAGGTTCCCTCCCTTTCGGCATCCCTGGTGGCCGAGGATTGTGCACCCGTGGGCACTAGGCTTCAGTCTTGCGCTTCTTTTCCCTGCTGGAGCTGACTTCGAAGTGGTTTGTGCTGGGTGTGGAGGAGCTGGGTTCCGGGCCAGGGTCAGGTGGGCTTGCTTCGGCAGATCAGGTGCCAGCTGCTTTGGTGAAGTTGAATGCGCCTTTTCTGAGGGAGGCAGTGTCTGTTCTTCACTTCTCATCTCGCGTGTCGACAGGCGGTGCTCGTCCAAATTTTGGAATCGTCTTGGGTCCTGGCTCTTAGATTTTCATCCTCTTTTCGTCCATTGCTGTTTGCAGAGTCTGCGGTGGTGCATTTTCTGCAGGCGGCTTCGTATAGCTGACGTCTTTTGTCGGACTTGTAGGTTCTCCGGGGAAGGGAGGGGGGGCATGAAGGTCCTGCCCGGAAGGGTTGTGCCAGGTTTCAGGGTTCCTTCGGTCGTCGTAACCCAGTAGTGCCAAATTCAGGGCCAGCAACTCCTCTGGAGCCATTGGCGTCTGGTCGGCACAGTGATCGCTCTCAGTGTTGGTTGGGCTCTCATAGGGGTCGTCGGCCCTTTCGTAGGTTGCCCCGTTGACGGGACGATACGGGGGAGGCTCACATTGTTTGCTCTCGCCTGGTCCCACGATTCGTGGGCATTTCGGGTAGTTTCCTTCAGCCTGCGGTGGCATTGGGTCGCTCCTCCTCCTTCAGGGGTATCGGGGCTAGCAGGGCAGGCCTCTTCTGTGCTCTGTCAGGTCATCCGGGAGTGGGTTCGCTTGGGTATGGTTGTAACGGCAACGTCCCTCAAGTAGGTTTTCCTGCCTGTTTTTAGTTCCGAAACGGGACTGTGAGGATCTGCGATTCATACTGGACTGGTCTAGTCTGAATCCCTGGGTCTTTTGCTCTTCCTTTCGGATGACCACTCTGCCTCAGGTCCGGCTGCTTTTGGCCCCGGGTGCCTGGATGCTACCATAACTATTTAGTCTTTTTTTACCAGTAAAATGTTTATTAATACTTTATTCTGGTTTGCATAACAATTTTCATTGCATTATGGCACTGCTGAGGCCTGGATTTGATGGCACTCAATAATTCTATTACGTTTTCTAATTATCACAAAGGCTTAGCATGACTATTTGAATATTTTTTTTAAGTTAAATGTGCTCTGTTATACATTACAGGTTCACTGTTCTGTGGTGGATAGTGCTATTGCATAATAGGAGGAGGTGATATAGGATGATGGCAGTGGATGTGGTCATGGAGGATTGATGAGAATACAATCTTGGCAATGAATAGCCATATAATATTAATAAAAGCCTACAGTGTTATAGGTATGAAATTCCTTTTCCTTATTTCAAAGTCTTACCCGTTTGCTGCTAAGCATCTTTTTCTGGTCAACCTTCCGCCGCTGATTTGCAAAGGCCATTTTAACTGTAATGACCCTTGTCTGAACTTCTGCTTCTCCACCGGTCTCTTTAAAAAAAAAAATGTGTAAATAAAATTTAATAAAATTGCACTTCAAATTTAATTAAATTGAAATTGTGAGTGCCTATAGGAAATGGAACACCTTTATAGATATGAGAAATACTGGCAGAGGAGACCAAAGTTAAATAGAGTACAGAAATTAAAATAAATATAATGGGCTTACAAAGATTTACATGAACTCAACAAATGGTCAGAAAACTGGCAAATGCTGTTCAATATTGAAAAATGCAAACCCTTGCATGTAAGGCATAACACTACACATCAATATAATTAACCCTTAACTCTTTAGTTGCGCATCACATCATATGATGCTTTGACCGACTTGCAGGAAATTGCGCATCGCATCATATGATGCTTTTGAGTACCGCGCAAGATTTGAAAGGCCCGCGGGTTATAGGGCATCCCCATACGCTGCCTAGGGGCTATAGTAAACAGCCGCCATTTTGAAAACAAATCCAGCTCACGCTACAATCGCATGGGAGGCCTCAGTTACCCAGCAGCCACCATGTTGAGTGCACGGCCGAACGCTTCCCGGGCACACCCCACGCAATCACCCAAGATCAAATAACCAGTGAATTATTTTCCGATGGTGAGGAAAGTGACTTTGATGACTCTGATATTGATAAAGACTACACACAATTGACCGATGATGGTAGCACGGACAGTGAAAATGAGATACAGCCGCCTTCCATGGCGAGGCCTATACGCTCACCCATGCCACTTCGCCCAGTGTCTACCCCAATTCACCCTCGACCACACAGTTCCTGTGCTTATTTAGAGTCTAAGGATATGATCGGTGAGGAGTCAGAGGAAGCTGACTCTTTTTCTGGTTTTAGTGAAGTGGAATTAGAACATTGTGTTACAGAGCCTGGTGCCAGTACCAGTGGTGTTACTGGGCGAGATTTTGTCGCGTCAGCAGCGTCTCGCCCAGCCAAGCGCCACCGCATGGAGCAACATGAGGCACCAAGAGCCTCATGTTCACATGCTTCTACCTCACGTGCACGTAGCGGCTGAACTGTGCGTAGACGGGCTTCAGCTCCTGGTCCAATATCAACATGTGTTTGATTGATAAGGCTGACATGATGATTGGCACTATCGAGTGTGCGCGGAAAACATTGAAATGGACGAAAGAAGTGTTTTTCCATCTTGTTGACATGAGCATGTTGAACCGCTATAATTTGTATCTGGTGAAAACTGGACGTAAACCTGTTTTCCGTTCATTTGCTTTTACAATTGCAACACAGTTATTAGCAAAGTTTGGCCAAGAAGTCCCTGGCATACGAAGACCAATCATGAACCCAGTGTTGCAGTATGCTGCAACACACAGGCTCGCATACTGCAACACACAGGCTCGCTCGCATAGATGCCTTTCAGCAACACAGACTAAAGAATTTGACACCAGGTGAAATGCGTGCAATAGGCCAACGTGCATGCCTAGTATGTAAAACAACAAAACTGAGAGAACAGAAATGTAAAATGGTGCAAACATGGTGTGACGGGTGTGGAGTTGCATTGTGTGCTGTCAACTGCTTCAACGACTACCACTCACTCCAAGATTTCTAAATGAGCAATAATAGTGCAAAAACCTGTACATAGTGCATGCTAGTGTGTACATATAAAATAATGAACATTGTGATTACATAATATAATGGCGTAATGGAAAACGTTTGTGCGCGCTTGTGTATACTCGATGTATGAAACATTTATTGACACTAACTGTGAAGTAACATTATGTGCAACACAATTACCAACAAATATTGCAAAGAATACAGGCCTAGACACTGTAAATAATGATGCGAAAATAAATTCGTGGCAACTCTGGCTGCTTGAAGACTGCGCACGACGCCTCCGGGACACACCATGCATGAGCGAACATGCAAACTGTGACGTCATCACTCATCTTGTCGGCTCAATTACGTCGCCGGTAAGTACAATTGATTCCCCCGTGATCAGGGAACACGACTTAACAGGTTAGGAAGAAAAAATATATATATTTTTTTTGTATGCGCCTGTGGGTGTCAAATAGTATATAGCCATGCGCCATTTAAGGGTTAAACTGTGCAAAGCATCATGTGATGCTTTGAGTAACTGTCGACAAATTGCACACAGCATCATATGATATTTGGGAGTACCATGCAAGATTTAAAAGTCTCGCAGTTACACAGGGTTCACATCAGCTTCATTAGGGCTCTTGTAAACAGACGTCATTTAAAAAGAAATCGTGGGCAACATTCCCAGGTGTGAAAGCCTCAGTACTGAGTGAGCCACCAAGGCTGGTGCACTCAGCATGAGCTCACATCACTGCTGTTCAGCTTGTGACTTCAGCATTGCCTAAATGTTAAAAATATATGTAACTGGTATTATTTAGCATTGATAATAATACAGAAGACCCCTGATAAAAAAAACCCAGCGTTGAATGTAATGAAACGCCGTTTTCTGGGCGAGACCCGGAGGCTCCCCGGAGTTATCCAGGCTGATATGCTAATGTCAGACTTTGTTATCAGTCATGTGTATGGAGTTCTGGGGGTCTACCGGAAACCACGAGCCAGAACCTGGCCCCCCTCAGAGAGGCACGAGGAGCAATGGCCTATAGAAACCCCCCATGTGGTTGGAAGCATTCTATGTCTGCCATCGACTGGGTCAGGCACCCAGAAAGATAAGCGCCCCAAAACAAACCCCTATTCTGGTTAAGAAATTGCTACTGAGAGCTGAACTAGTGGACAGAACTCTCGAAATAAAAACAAGCTAATGAGCATGTTGTCACCACTTCGCCATGCTGCCGTCTGCACAGCTACCCCCCTCCCCATGAGGGGGAAGAGGGAGCACCAGACCCCTCGCTCCAGCCACCCAAGACCCCAGTTCTGATGCTGGATATCAAAACACACTAAAAAAACGACGACCGGAGGGAGGGAGGATTGCTGGGGAGCCTACGGATCTCACCCAGAAAATGGCATTTCGTTACATTCAATGCTGGTTTTCTGGGGGGGGGGCCTTGTCGGCTCCCTGGAGCTACCTACCCAAAGATGAAAACAATAGGGACCTAACCCGGGAGGCGGAGACAAAAGATTCCAACCGCCAACTCAAGGTCACACAGGCTCGACAAGGCCCAGGAACATCAACTAATGAAAGCATAGCTAACCTACGAACGTCATGGACACGGGGATAGATTGCAGGGTGGCTGGACCGAACTACTCCGCGGACAACCCGAGAGAACCGCACCCTGAAACAGGGAAGGGAAACCGTAACAATCCAAAGCGTGACCTTGTCATGGCAGCCTAGGCACGCAAAGAAAGGCGAAGCGCCACAACCGAACACAACACATGATGCACCCCCGGCCAGACCAACCAAGCATCAATGGTGCTGGTTGGCCGAGCGGACAACACGTGGGACTTGTGATCCTGTGGTCCTGGGTTTGATCCCAGGCGCCGGCGAGAAACAATAGGCAGAGTTTCTTTCACCCTATGCCCCTGTTGCCTAGCAGTAAAATAGGTACCTGGGTGTTAGTCAGCTGTCACGGGCTGCTTCCTGGGGGTGGAGGCCTGGTCGAGGACCGGGCCGCAGGGAAACTAAAAGCCCTGAAATCATCTCAAGATAACCTCAAGATCTCAAGATAACAACCCAAGGTCCCCTCCTGAAAGCAGCTATGTCAGACTTCGCCAGAAAAGGAGGAGATGGCTGCAAGCGAACAAACCAATCACAAGGCCCAAAAGTGACAGAACCCTTGGTGCCGGAGGAGAGCATTAACCCTTAGACCATGCAATACATATAAAGATGATTTGAGAAACAAAACCGGAACCTCACAATACATTACAAAATTTTCAATACATTACGTAGATGTTCTAGTGTTTAGCTCCTTAATTTAAATGCCCCGCATGGCATAGGGGCAGCTAGAGTGCAGCTACGGCCGATAGTTGACAGACGCCACCTAGAAATAAAATCGTGGCCAACATTCCTGGGTGAGAGATTCAGTACTAAGCAAGCCACCAAAGCTGAGGCACGCAGCATGAGCTCACAGAACCGCTATTCAGCTTGTGACAGCATCGCCTAAAAATGTTAAAATATATATGTTCGTGCTTTATTTAGCAATGATAGTAATACAGAAGAACCCTGTGATAAAACTGACCAGGATTTTGATAATAGCAGGATTGTGGTGATATTTAGCTCTGTGCTCCATGGTAGGAGGAGTAATGTTGAGGGAGGGAGGGAGGTGGCATCGTCTCCTGACTATGTGGCCACCTTTTATTGACTGGACTTACCACACCAACTTAGTGGTTCACTATGGTGAACACAAATTTAGATTCTTATATATAATGTGTGTATAGAGTGTAATAACAGCAATAGGAGTATGTTAGGAGCTGCCATTTTGGTGAAGGTGGTGTATCATCTGCATGACATTTCTTGTTGTTTACTGGTGGCCACTAGGGAGCCGGTTGGCCGAGTGGACAGCACGCTGGACTTGTGATCCTGTGGTCCTGGGTTAGATCCCAGGCGCCGGCAAGAAACATTGGGCAGAGTTTCTTTCACCCTATGCCCCTGTTACCTAGCAGTAAAATAGGTACCTGGGTGTTAGTCAGCTGTCACGGGCTGCTTCCTGGGGTGGAGGCCTGGTTGAGGACCGGGCCGCGGGGACACTAAATCGCCCCGAAATCATCTCAAGATAACTCAAGACGATGGTCTTTGGGCACCATACCAGCTTATTTGTACAGGTATGGTGAATAAAACATGTTGATATTTATATATATTGTGTGTATATATAGTGTAATAATGCCACAAACAGTATTGTTGGAGGAGAAATATTAGTGCGTCTGGCCGTGAGGGCAGCCGCCACCAGCTGACTGTGTGAGTAGCTACGTCTTATTGCCTTTACTCACCATACAAGCTTAGATGTACAGTTATAGTGAACAAAACATGTAAATACTTATATATAACATCTGTATATAGTGAATAAATGCACAAACAGTATCGTGGGAGGAGAATGTGGACGAGTG